CCCTGGCCATTATCGGCCAGGTCTGGACCAGACCTGGCCGTTAACGGCCACGGATCTGGCCGTTAGCGGCCAGATCTAGCCCGATATGGCCGTTTTCGGCCATCAATATGGCCAAAAACGGCCATATCGAAGCCTCCCGGAGCCTCCCACAGAATTTCCAGTGTTTTTGGGGGCTCCGGCGATTTTCCGGCGGTTGTTCGCGGTGGCGGCAGGCGGCGCCAGGAGGTGGGGGTGATTTCGTCATGAATTAAAGTTTTTTTATAAGCGGGGGTGTTTTAGCTAAATCTGAAATATTGGGGGTTAAAAAATAATTCAAAAATTAATAATAAAAATAATATTATATTAATATTTAAAAGAGGGTCAATTTAGTAATTTAAATAACATACCCACCAATTTATTCCCATAACCAAACATATTAATATAACATACCCACTAACTAACCAAACATATTTTCTTAAAAATTCCCAGTAATCTTCCAAGGTAATCTATCTTTCCAGTAATCCAATATTCCCAGTAATCTAACATTCCTGAACCAAACGCCCCCTTATATTTATATTTCATAACATTTAAAGTAAGTTGGTTTGACTTTTGAGAATCTACATTTACAAAGTAATGGAGTTTGGGGGGGGATTTGTAAGTTTTTAAGGCACAAATGAGGGTTTTTTTGGCCATTTTAGAAACTTTTGGGGGGTTCATTGTAATTTTATAGGGTACCCAGAACCAGAACTGGAACCGAAATTATTGTTACAGGTTCTGGTTCGGGTACCTAGGAACCGGAACCATCGGTTCTGGTTCTGGTTCTGGTTCCAAATTTTAAGGAACCGTCGGTTCTGATTCCTTCAAAAAGTGTAAGGTACTTGTAACCGAATACCCCTAATGCTAACAGTGACCGGATTCGTAATTAAGCATCAACTAATTAGCGATCTGTACACCAATCAAGACTGCCATCTAGCATGGCATCATGATTACCTAACAAATAAAGATTCAGCGAAGTTGATGCCTTTCAACAATATGGTTACTATGCAATTCAAATACCTTTATCATCATTTATCTCATCAAGGTTTGAAGTACAAAAGTAGTGTCAACTTCAATCATTTTACCTTGATACGTTTGCATTCGATTATCAAATCAATGACCAAATAAAATTGGATTTGAGCAGCGACTCAATTCCACTGTGGCCATAAATTTGCAATCATAGTTACTAACCGAATAACTCAACGAGATAATTTTTCTTGTACTTAGGAGTGATGAATCCTTTGTCGATTCACCATAGCCATAGTGTACTTCTTGAAGTAACCAACCACTATCGTACTGATAACCCTCAATAGGACTACGTTAGGCTAGTGTCAAATTACACCAATATTTACATATGGCGCTCTGGTGATCTCAAGTCTAAGGATCACATGCACCACCATCTGTTAGATGATATATTCCATAGACACTAGGGTTACCATCTATATGGAATCCTTTTATGGGTAAATCCAGTGAACTTGTCAATAACAAGCACCCATGCATCGTACCAAGTTGTCACCAAACAACCTTAACATGTGAGAATTGTCACTATCTTTTGGTAGGTTCGTTCACCATTATGAAAGTCTTACCGTATAATCTGTGTCCTTTGTCAGGTTAATATTGAGCTCATAGACGGTTATAAAATGGCCACCATATGTGATCATAAAGTCCTTACAATTAAGATTTGAAACACTTAATTCTCTCTCGTCATGGTTCAGCCCTTCTAAGGATATATATATATATATGAACATGTAAACAAATGCCATGATATAGAATTTATGTCTTTATTGATATTCAATATAATAGTACAAGAGTCTAATATTATTGGCTCTAGTGCACCTATCCTAACACATTCCACTTTAGATACATGAACTTTATCTTGATCTTCAAGGCTTGTCTTCCAAGATTCGCCAAAGGCGCGAAATGTTTGAATTTTGAGAACTTTGACTTTTGACTTGGATGGAATAGATTGTGTCGTTGAGAGCAACTTGACTTCATTTTGAACAGAAGCATGCACGATCATGTGGAACGATGTCGTGCTAACAGGAACGTGCATCTAGGCAACTTAGTGAAACAAAGAACAATCGTTCCTTTGTCTTACACGATCATACCAACTGGGAAAAATGCATGTTTTTTGTTATGGCTTCTTGTCATACCTTAGCATGTTTGTTAGAGAACTAATCAAGTCTTTGATTAGTTTTGGCACATCAAAACACATGAGGGCTCAATATAGGGTAGTGATGACATGGATGACTTAGATGATAATGTGAATGAACAAGTGACATTAGGTGTCTATTGTCTACTCCTATTGCAGATAGCGATTGGAAGCGTACTAGTCTTTTTAACACCTTTATCCCTTCTAAAGGTAAGACTTGTAAGCTAGTGGTAGTACAATGAATGTAGTATCCATATATACTATTGATAGGCTTAATCTCAAGATTGAACCTCACCCTCATCCATTTAGAGTAGCTTGGGTTGACTCTAGTTCCTTACCAGTTAATGAGAGATGTCTAATTCCTATAAAGTTTGGGTCATACTCTAAAAAGGTATATTATGATGTTATTCCTATGTTATTCTAAACAAGTGTCAATAGGTGTCTGTGGTATACTTCTATTGTAGATAGTGATTGGAAGCGTACTGGTCTTTTTTACACCTTTGTCCCTTATAAAGGTAAGACTTGTAAGCTAGTGGTAGTACAATGAATGTAGTATCCAAATATACTATTGATAGGCTTAACCTCAAGATTGAACCTCACCCTCATCCATTTAAAGTAGCTTGGGTTGACTCTAGTTCCTTACCAGTTAATGAGAGATGCCTAATTCCTATAAAGTTTGGGTCATATTCTAAAAAGGTATATTATGATGTTAGAGTAAACGACATATTCCCACCCAAGGTTTGACGAAATCCCAAGTTGGTACCACAAGTTCCATTTATTCTAGATTCCTACCCTTAAAATAACACTGTTAACATTTTTTAGGATAGTGAGGGTGCAATTACCATAATGCCCTTTAACCCTAAATTAATAAATTATATTTTAACCCCTAAATTACTAAAATTATAAAATTAACCATCTTATTTTGAAATTACATCAATTACACCCTTAGTGATTGTGCACCGTCTCGGTTTTCACAAGATCTGGGCTATTTCCGATGCCGGCGAAACCCCTGGTCACCTCCATCACCTTCCCCATCATTCGTCGTCTAAAACCCCTCTGGTTCCCGACTCATTGGGCCCTCCGATCGCCGGTGCCATCAAGCTTAGGTTTTCGTCGTTCTTCACCGGATTCCGGTCGATTCCAGTGATGAAAATCTAATTCGATGTCACCACTGCAACCAGCGTCTCCTAATCTACAAAACCCCTATGTCCCAGCAACCGTTTAGTGGCCATTTGCCAGTGGACACCGACGAAAACCAGTCGCATGTGGCGGCTGTCGTGGATGGAGATCGGCGGGCGATGAGGGGTTGTCAAGGGTATGGTTTTGTAGAGGGGAGGATGAGGGTTAGAATGGTGGTGACAAGGGTGATTTTGGGTGGAAGAATCGCCGGAAAAGAGCGAAAAACGACGGCGGCGATGTTGCTAACGTGCGCCGGATTTTTGTTAAGGGTGGCGATCTGCTAATGTGCGCCTCCTCTGTGAAATGACCAATTTACCCTTGAGCCGTTATATCTAACAATTTCTCGTTACTTTAAGGGTGGGAATCTTGAATAAATGGAACTTGTGGTACCAACTTAGGATTTCGTCAAACCTTGGGTGGGAACATGTCGTTTACTCATGATGTTATTCTAAACAAGTGTCAATAGGTGTCTGTGGTATACTTCTATTGTAGATAGTGATTGGAAGCGTACTGGTCTTTTTTACACCTTTGTCCCTTGTAAAGGTAAGACTTGTAAATTAGTGATTGATGGTGGTAATACAATGAAAATAGTATCCAAATCTACTATTGATAAGCTCAACCTTAAGACCGAACCTCACTCTCATCCATTTAAGACAAAGTTTGGTTCAACCTCCGTATTAGGTACCTGGGTTGATGAAACTGTTAACCGAGTTAAGTAGTCTCATCATCGCCACCCATTGTCACAAATTGTTTATACCACCCTTGTTCATGGCGTTCATATTCTTCTAATTGTTTCATTTCTCTAGATTGTGCCGTTTTGATCTGAAGGAATAATCTTTAAATTGCGGCAGCGATCTTCCTGGATCACAACTAGCGGCCAACTATAAATATTTTCAATTATTTAAAAAGAAATTGTATGTTCTTTATTACACATTCAATATATTGAGATTAATTTTTATGTTTTTCTAAATTGAATAAGTTTCCACACAATGTTTTCATATTTTATAATTTTTTTATAATTAATATCATGTTGGTTTCGTTCATAAGAGGTCTTTAGCCAAGTGTATAATTAATTTAATTTAACTTTTGAGGTCAAGGGTTGATTCATTTAAATATCAATTTATTCGAAGTTTAATTTGAAATGTCGATTTCACCCTTGACAACAAAAAATAAAATAACCGGCCACAAGTGTAAGTGGTTACCTTCGAACATGGAAGCAAAGTGTCATTTAGTCTACTTCCAGGGAATGTAAGTGTCATCAACCCAAATTAAACAGACAGCTCAGCTGGGAGTGTAAGTGACTATTTCGAACTTAGTTGGGGCACAATCATTTGGTCTACTTGTAAGGGGTGTAAGTGTCACTAACCTATTATAGACTTCGAGCCTCCTATCTTACCAATTCAAAAGAACAACTCAAGTTGTCTTCTCCTTAATAAAAGACACATGTAAAACAAGTGGCGTCTTGATCATAATCCCATGTGGAATATCCACATACCCCAAAAAAAAAAAAAAAAAAGCAGTATCACCCGACAAAAGTTTACCATATTTGCAAAGAGGGCATGCCATATTCCATTTGCATAGAATATACTAAAAATCCCAAGGCTCTATAAAGCAAATCAGACCTACAAATGGGGTGAGATAAATGGAAAGCAGATGAAAAATTGACGGGGCAACGAAATTATGGAAATGCCATTGGAACACGGAAAAAGTCAATTGCTTTCTTCAAGGTATAACCAATTACTAATAAAAATTGTGACCATATGATTTAAAAAGGTAAGACATGGAAGAAAGAAAGACGAGAGAGTTTATCCTCTTATTGACATTTATAACTTCTTAATCATTTCTGGGTTTCTGCTTCAGCAGGAGTTCTAGTAGTCATCTGGTCAACTGCATGAACTGTGCTTTGAAGCTCCTCCCATATGGCTTTGTACACCATCCTCTGCCTATTCACAGCCGATTGTCCCTCAAAAGCTGATGAGATAACATCGATCCTGCAAATGTGAGAGATTCAATATACGTGCATCAACCAAGAAAAAAAAAAAAGAGCAGCAATAAATTTTATCAACAAAAAGTGAAATGGACAATTCAGAATTTAGCTCATTTAGATAGCCCAAAATCTTTTCATCATGTATTTAAGCCAAATCACAATATGACCTGAAACCTCCCAATATTACACAAGAATAACATTAATTAACTAACTAGACCTGACTTCCATCTCACTCTATTAGATGGATTCAAAAAGGTGAAATAACTACATTGGGATTACAACAAGGATCAACTATATGAACACAGCAGCAAAAGGAAGTACATAAACATTCTTGCTTTGTGTGTGCACCGGGCGTCAACTACATTATCATCAGAATTCAAGACAAGTGGACTAAATGTTACATCTCCAAGTATTAGAAAACATAGGACTATAAATTTAATGCATAAAAGGAAGTTGGCGTTTTAGAAAGTGGAAAAAAAAAAATTGTAGAACACATGTCAGACAAAATATATAAAACATCTGAAGAAGAGTCATGGATGATCTTGATTCTATAATCAACTGGTTTCTCTTCTAAAAAAAATAATAATAAGAACTAGTTTACACCAATCCACAATGCTATACAAAAAGACGAAGACAAATAAATAAAAGCTTAGGATCAGGAGCCCCATTTCTTTTACACAATTTTTGAGCCATTAGATTAAAGCATTTGAATAGTTGAGATTGCATCTTAATTATGGTATTTGAAAGTGCATTAATTATGTAAGTTGTATTGAATCTCAAACACCCAAAGTCCTCTAATCCAAGACTTACAAATTGTGTCATATTTTGTGTCAAAAAAGTGATGCACTTGAACCTTCGCCATAAATAAAATCACAAAATATCCTACAAAGGCAATTCTAAAAGATAATTAAAGGAGCCAACATATTGAGAAAAATAAAATAAAGCAACCAAAGCCAAATCTTTCATTTTCTAATTTAAATTGCCCGTGGGAACAAAATAGGAGCTCACCTAACATGGCGACCATCCCCATATGCATCTTTTACAAAGACCGATTCTGCATTTAGAGACTCCTTGATCTGTTGCAGAAAATTGAATGTGAAATTTAAAACAACAATATATAATCCAATGAAATATCATAAAATGAAAAAAAAAAATTGCAATAGCTCTAAAGATGACAGGAGACAAGTGACCAACAAGAGATGAAAAAACAAATTGCAGATAAAACAAGGAGGATTTTAGGAATGTAGTTGTCAAAAGAAAGGAAAAGGAAAAAGGGTGGAAAATACAGTTCCAAAACTAACAGGGTATTTGAAAGTTTTCATTTGCATGTCCAGAGGGTAAGGGTTTGAGAATAAGGTTTGAACTAAGCTCATCGTTATAGATGATAGTGTTCATATCTCAATCTTAAGCATTGCTGACATCCAAATGGGTGTTGGGTGAAATTCATCTAAATTAACAATTCACATGCAACTCATCACTTACATGGTGCTTTGCGAAGATGTGTTTTTATCCAGCTTTATAGCTCAAGTTACAAATGTAGGTTGTCTTACAGGTGTGCTGGGATGAGCCATCATTGAAGAAAGTAATTTTGAGTATATGCTGGATTATAGGATCTCACATTTGAAGTATTTGAAGAAGCAAAACTAATTTTAATTTAGATTTCTTGAGATTTAAATGTGTTGCATGCTGTGGGTAAAAGGTTCAAACCAATCTACAATAAGAGAAATCCCACAATAAAAAATAAATAAATAAATAAATGTTGATTCATAAATCACAAAGTATGAAAACTGCTATGGAAAATGTTTGATCCAATCTATAACTATGAAACTTTCAAAAACACTGCTGATTTACAAAGCAGAAAACCAACTGGTGTAATTTTTCATTTTGTGATTCAATCATCATATTCATCCCAGATCTAGATCCAACAAGTATGATTTCATCACTTCTTTTTAACATCTCGAAATATGAAAACTTTAAAAACTAACCCTATGTTTCAAAAATTATCATGTGGATACCACATTTTGCACTTTTAAACAAACAATATCTCATATTTTTAATAACTTAATCATTCGGTACCCTAATTACGAACTTTGGGCCAATAGAAGTTAATGTTGGAGAGATAATAGTGGAAACTAACAATGACCTTAGGGGTTTATGAATTCAAACAGCCAGCAATGGGTTAAAAGGATGTCCAAAAACTATTGGTTCCAAATAGGATGCAAAAACCCAAGAGCTTTGGCCAACAAAAACAAAGCTACTTGATATTGGCAATGTTGTCACACACACACATCTCCTATAGTGCATGTGGTTGCCAATGACAATAACCTTAAACTATCCAAAAGAAAAATTATAATTTAATATTGTACTTATTCAATATTAATATGATTTTGTTAAAGAGTAGTTATTTTATTTAATACAACGTATTATTTAATGTATGATATAAAATAACTTATTGAATATTAATTACTTTATGCACTATGTTAAACACTATGAAATTACATCAACCAATTATTATTCATATTAATTACTATTTAGTATATTTTGATATATTTTTAAATATTTTATTTTTTATAAATACTTTAGAAATAAGCCTGAATTTATTTGTAATTTTTCATATTCTTTAAATTGTATTTTTAATGACAGTTATCAGCTATCAGTACGGTATTTTGGTCATTGGGCATTTAAACCTATTAGTATACTTAATTATTTTGTCAAAGCGTAAAAGTAGAGGTAAAATAGACTTTTCACACTATTACTAATGCTATTACTACTAACAAACTAATGGAATTTATCAATAAGGGTGTTGTATGACTAATTTTGAGGGAAAAAAAAAAGTGTGTTATGTTAATAAAAATGTCAAATATAGCACCCACCTGACAATTTATAACAATATAGAGATAGTAGTTCACCCATCACATATAACGAGTAAATAAGAGGTCAAGTGGTAAATGAGAGCAGCATCACGAGCTCTCATTCTATATTCCAGCAAGAGAGGTTGGTTTGCTTAAGTTGGTCAACTTGAAATGAGCTTCAGCTTGGTTAGTTTATTTTTGTTGAGGAAACTTCAGCGAAGCTTTGATAGACTCACTAGCAAACAGCTCACAAGTAGCTTGGCCCATTTGCAACAACATGAACTTAACTAATTTAATTAACACTTCCGCTAAGCTTCAAAAGTGCACCAAAGAAAACTTGAAAACTTTTGCTTGACCAAAAAAAATAATAATAAATAAATAATAATAATAATAATAATAATAAAAATTAAAAAAAAAATTGACACATTTAAATTATTCCAAGTAGATTCAGCCTTCATTATCCCAAAATCACTCCATTTTTTGATTATATGTTCATTACATTATTCATGAATTTCTTGACAATTATCAGTGTCGTCAAATTATATTGGTAATGTTAATCTAGAAACAATATTCAGATGTTTTATATTTTCACATGCCCAAAGGTCAAAAACCTAATCCAGATCAGTTTCTTTTTAAAAGGTCAGATCAGTTGAGCCTAGCAACATGTAAAATAGAATGAACAGTGGGGCTTCCACTCTGAGTTAGAGACTATGTTAAGAGAAACTTTTAAGATTATCAAAGTCACATTTATTTTCCACCAAAACCTTTTGCTGTTTTTTGATAGGCTATTATTGGATTGCCAAGTGGGTAGTTATTTATTTTCTCCTCAACTACATCGGTAACAGAAACAAAAAGATTCTAAAGATAGCCCACGAGGGTTGTTTCAGATATTTAGACCCTTGGTTCCAACCAACAGGTCAGGGGTTCAAATCCCTCAGGGAACCAATTTGGGTATTCTTGCAAATAAAGCTTTAAGGTTAGAAGTAACCCATTGTTAGAACTTGGTCAGAACGAGAAAGGTCAGGGAGTTATGGGTACTAATAAGAAAAATAAATGATGTGGAAAATAGATATATTAATGACGATTCCAAATAATATCAATTAAATTTTTCAAACATACCATCAAGGCTTTAACTGTTTCATATTCCATAGGCATCACAATTTCTGAAATCATCAAAAACTTGATAAGTATAAGCTTAGTTTTCTATTCAACCCTTCAATGTATAACTTTTTGATTGACCAGGCACCCAATACCAACAGAGGTGAAACTAAACACTATTAATTCTTTATCAAAAACCCAAGCTAAATGGGAATCTGCGACCCATGCTAATATTCCTTAGATGACATTTTCCTTGTTCCTAAAGCCTAGAAAAGACGAGATAATTTCAGCTTTGGTTGGGCTTGAGAAAAGCAATTATATGGGCCTTTCAAAATCACAGTGAAAATTTATTAAGCATTTAAAATGGCATGGGGATATTTCGTATAGCAGCCCATGCTGATAAGACTAGACAGCATCACAGCACAGGTTGGGAGAGAGTCACTAAATTTATTCATATTTCTTGAGAAATGCCGATGAGGGTATCAATTTCCTAGTCCAAAGTGATGGTTTGTCAAAAATCTTACATGAGATAGTTTATAAAATATCATGTCCATGCCAATTTACTAGAGATTTTTGATATCTCAGAGCCTTTCCATAGAACATTAAACCTGGAAACTATAATCATCACTAACCAAGATGCTAAAACTTTTAACCTGAAACATATAACTAATTAAGATGAAAACACCTGAATTTTGGATATTTAATTTAGTCCTGCAAAAGCTTCTATGTATTGTTTGGATAGAATTTAAAGAACATGCCTCAGCTAAGCTACTACAAACATTGTAGCTCACTCTTTAGTTATTAAAACACAAACTACAGCTATTACGAGACTCGGAATCAATTAATAGCAAAATTGAATCTTTCAAAACTAACAATAAAATTGAAAATATAGGGAAAAAAGAATACCTTTTTCTCCATAGATTGCATGAGAGGAGAGTCAATAGAGCCAGCATCATTGACATGGGTGGCTTTAGTGGTGAATCTACGATGACCCACAAAACCAAACCTGGAAGAGTTGGATGCAATGGCACAATTACCGTGGATTTGAAGCTTGTTTCTGCTGCTACTGTTGCAAGACAACAAGAAGCTTTCGTTTACCAAGATTCTGGTTTTAGAAAGAAAGTACCCACAAAAGCTTCTCGATGATGACGAAAAAATGTACGGACGAGACATCAGAGTCTTGGCCATGGTTAAAGTGTGGCGCAGATGCAATTCTGAATTTGAAATGGGTTTTTATTTTCCCTGTCTGAGAAATGCTTATTATACAAGGCTTTTAATAATTTTTTTATTTTTTTTTTTTTTTTTGTTTTTTTTTTATGGGTTGGGCTTAGCAAAGTCTGATCTGTTTTCTTTACAAGGCAGCCTAGCCCTAATTTGGAAACGCTTCGTCAAACATCTTTCGATTTCTACACCTAGGTTTCTAAATTAATTTTCATCTGTAAATGACATTTTTATCCTTAAATCAGAATATTTCATCAATAAACTAAGCTAGGACAAATGGACAATGTCACCCTTCTTAATCATTCAATGAAGCTGAATTGAGACAACTCGCTGGACACAAACCCTAGTCATTCTTCATCTTCCTTTCATCCACCAAACCTTTTAATTGTTTCAATTTTCTTTCAGTTTCTTATTAATTTTTCCCTTTGTCATTTTGTTCTATGCCTTGCGTTTCTCTGCGTCAGGCTTCTTACAAGAAAATCGTAACAATTTCAACATATAATTATGATTTTAATGAGGCTGGAGCAGTAAGATGGTGCTTTCTCTGGTCAAGAGGATACCAGTGGACCTCTATCAAATAGCATATTGAGATAGCTCCAAAATTTGTGTGGATCATAATGATTGACGATGTTTAGTTGTTCTTGTACCATTATGCTTGTGACTCCTTTTTATTTTCAATCTCAGTTGTTGATGCATCTTGACTAAATTTTAGTCATGGACAAATCATATCATTAGCAATTTGGCAACAAGAGTTTGTTGTCTCAAAGAGTAAAGCATAACACTTTCAACAAAATGGAATAAAGTACTTCAAAATTCGTAGTCCCTACTCAATAACTTAACTTTTTGTAAGTTGCATTTATAACTTTAAATATTTATAAAACAACAACGAAGTCAAAGAAGGCCAATAGGAGTGGGAACTGTTAGGGCCAAAAAATGTCATCGGCCTCAGTGGGCCCAAAAAACAAAATACCTTCAACAGAGCTCAAAGCCATGGCCCAAATTCGATTGGGCCCACAACAGAATTCACGTAATGGGTCAGCTCATTACACCCACCAGGTTGCTTACAGATTAAGCCCAATCACTAAGGCCTTAATTAACTTACGCCTCGTCATCAGTTTATCTAGGCCCAGGCCCATTGATCCAAGATCATCTACTAGACCTAGGGCTTACTTAGATCCTAAGGCTACCTACTTCCTACTTTGGTACTATCCGGATTCTCTCGAAGAGATCCATCTACATCCTGATTCGTCTAAGATCTAAATCTTAGACTAAATAAGACTCCTTCCCCTACTAAGGCAAGTGAATTGAAGACTTTCTTTTTCACTGAATCTCAACCATTATGGACTCATAGTTCTACTAGGATTCGGAGATCCTACTATTGCTATATAAACAGAGGTCTACCCTCTCACAATTCATTCAACATTACACCTTCAAACCACCTAGTTCTCACCCTTGAGAGCTATACACCATCGTCGTAGTTTTAGTCTACAACTAAACTTCCGATAACCCTATCTTTCCTTTACCCTCACTAAATTAGCCTCATTCAGCCTTGCTGACTTAAGCGTCAGAATGCTTATGGCAAACACCACCCTATCTTTCCCGTTCGCTTCATGCTTGTTTATTTGTGTGTGCAGGTGCAGCGAATTGCTAGTGGCCTCAACCTCACGGGATCAGACCCCCTTTTCTGTAACCGTAGCTTTTACCGTCTACAGTTTGGTGCTTATCGTGGGGCCTCTGGCAATCATTCATCTTATGACACTGCTTCACAAGGAAACACCTCATGGCTAAAAACTCAAACAACACCAACCCTGGCCTCGAGGCCAAGCTCGAAGCCCTTAGTGCTCTTATGCAACAACACTCAGACAAAGTTGCAGTGTTAGAAACTGAGAATGCCTCCATCCAGGTCGAGAACCAAACTTTTAAAGAGAAGGTAAGTCAATTCTATAATCTTGAGCTTCAACTTAACCAAGTAACGCCCAATCGCTTATGCACACCAGTTATGCCCATGCAACCTCTCTAGACTTCGGACCCGAGATTGTCCAATTCAGATACCCAGTTATCCCAGCTCCACCCATCACTAGTGGATGGCTTGCCCTAGAATCCACCCGCACCTTGACAGCAAACACAACCGCTCTTGGCCAAACCCTCTTCAGGTGCATGATCAAGGCATCCAGGTAAACCCAAACCTATCACTACAAGAACAACCAATTCTTAGCCTTCCAACTCATCCCCAACCAAACAGCAATCCTAACCAAGCCCCACTCGGCTTGACTGACCCTCATGGGTTGAGTGGACTCCAAAACCTTCAATCCACCTCGCTCGGGTCCATCCACTCTCACGAACTGAATGACTCCCAAATAACCCCCTTCTTTATCCATGCTGGCCGAAACACCTAATCAGTCACCCTCGGAAAGATTCAACCCGGAAGGATGAATGGAGATCCCAATTAACAAACACCATGTGATGGAACGAACACCCAACCCGCTCCATATGACTCAACTAATCCCAACATGTTGAGTGCGAGTCACATGTCAAACCAAGCCAAACAAGCCGGCCTGATGGCCTCCCCCTCACCCTTGAAGCAAATATTAGCCAAAAGACTGGCCAACATGGAAGCAATGATGAGGTGCATACCTAGAGTGTCAACCCTAACCAAGAAGAGCCAACCCTACAACTATGCCGATTCACCCTTCGTAGACGTCATAGCCCTAGTCGAGATGCCACACAAGTTTTCCATCGCTAACATGAAACCTTACTATAGCACAACTGACCCGAATGACCACATTGTCTCATACAAATAGTGGATGTTCGCTACGACAGTTGAGAGAAGCTTGCATGTGTAAAAACTTCGGTTCCAGCCTCTCTAGACCGGCCCTCTAATGGTATGCGAATCTCTCAAACAATTCAATAAGCTCATTAGCCCAACTTATCGACACCTTCGTTGAGCAATTGGTCAGTCACAAGAAATTCGAGAAGTTGTCAGTCGACCTGTACAAAGTCTAGCAAAAGAGGGGGCAGCCATTGCTAAAGTATGTCAGTCGATTCAACAAAAAAAAAAAAAAAAAAATTTTATCCCATCCCGCAATCCCGAGACAGTAGTAGATGCCTTTAGAAAATGACTTCTTTAAGATGGAGAACTATACAAAGATCTGACAAATCTCGACTGCAACACAATGGAAGATGCCTTAACCAGAGCTATAATCCAAATAGATGGGAGGAGGATGAGGCGAACCAAATGAGGCACACAAGATATGAGGATCGCCACCCAAGGTGGAGTGAAAAAAGACCAAAGTGTAGGGCGTATGCACCCCACTATCAACCTTCACCTCGCAATTCAAGCAAAAACAGGAAACCGTATAACTGCTAACCAACCAGACCAACAAACAGATCATCTAGTTCCAGTCAGTTCAAGATCCCAAAGTACAACCTCAACATTGAACAAGCCCAAGTTGTGGCAATCATGAAAGGAATGGGACCAACCGTAATGGCTACCTGAGCTTAGTCCCAATGTTAAGAGGGACACCTCTAAATGGTGTGAATTTCACGACGACCACGGTCACAACACCGCTAATTGCATCGCCCTAAGATTAGAGGTGACAACTCTATTGAAAATGGGACACCTCTGGGATTTATTGACAAGTAAGGGTAAGAACACAGTCAACCAGAGAAACAAGAAAGAACCATCTCCTCCTCCACGAAAACCAACACCAAAAGGATTCTGCTCTATTATCTCCGGAGGATCAAAAGTTAATAGCGTAAATTACTCCTCAGCCAAGCGACAAGCTTGAGCCAGCCATCACCTAGAAGTCTACTCTACATCTACCCTTCCAAGCACATACCGATTATATCATCTAGTTTGAGGACGACAAGCCAGCCACCTTAGCCGCCCCTTATCATGACTTCTTAGTCATCTCCCTTCAAATAGCTAACATCCTGGTCAACAGAGTGTTAGTAGATGGGGGATCCTCAGCCAACATCCTCTTCCTTGAAGCAGTGAAAGTCATGGGACTAGATAAGTCGAATATCAAGAAGAAGACAAACCATATTCCTGGTGCTCAATTGCCCCTCCCCCTATAATGTCATCTAGGGTTGACCTTGGATCCATGACATGTAAGCTGTCTCATCCACTTTCCATCAAACTATTAGATTTCCAACCAAGTGGGGAGTGAGAGAGATCAAAGGTGATCCCAAAGCCACGAGGGATTGTTACAAGAATGCCTTCAAGGGTAAGAGTCATGCTTTATAGCAATTATAACACAATCTAACCCTTTCGACCGAACCAAATCAACCATCCATGGAAGAGTTGGATGAAGTACAAATACACGTAGACTATGCCAACCGAAAGACCCAAATTGGCTCCTGTTTGAGGCCCAAGATAAGATAGCGACTCATAGACTTCCTTAAGCAAAACCAGGATTGCTCGCCTGGTCCCATGCTGACATGACTGGGGTCAGCCCCGAGGCAATCGTCTATCACCTTCATGTAGACCCAGATTGGCTCCCATTTGAGGCCCAAGATAAGATAACGACTGATAGACTTCCTTAAGAAAAACTAGAACTACTTGCCTAGTCCCATACTGACATGACCGGGGTCAGCCCCAAGGCGATTGTCCATCATCTTCATGTAGACCCTGATCACCCTCTAATAAAGCAGAAAGGAAGAAAATTTACCCTAGAATGCAACCAAGTCATTAATGAGGAAGTTGACAAACTGTTGAGTAATGGATTGATCTGAGAGGTGCATTACCCTGATTGGCTCAACAACGTAGTCGTCTTAAAGAAAAAGAATGAAAAATGAAAGGTCTGCTTAGATTTCACAGATCTAAATAAGGCATGCCCCAAAGACTCCTACCCACTCCCCCACATTGACATGATGGTCGAAATGACAGCAAGCCATGAACTCATAAACTTTATGGACTCCTTCTCGGGCTATTACCAGATTTTGATGCATCCAGGTGACCAAGAAAA